ACGTCACGGCTCAAATGAAACTCAGGTTTATACAACATCTCTCTTTAAGCAAAGGGGTCACTGGCCTGAAAAACCTTGAGGACCCCTGTTACAGAGTTTATTCACTGTGGAGACATTAGAGTGGGATGCAGCTTCTCTGCTTTCATCTGGATGGATCAAAAAATATCCACATTAAAAGTTCTGGCATAAGATATGCGACTCACTTTATCCCAATTAAATCTAAATTTCAAAGTTGTAATTCAGCCTGACATGGAAATAATAAATTAATTCAGCTAAATCGATGGAGATCGGCTTTTAGCAACATATATGAGCTGCCAAAAGGTCTCAAAGGTTCCAACAACAAACAGCAACAAATTAAAGACTTCAGACAAACTCTACAAATGAGCAAAAATCTAAACGCTCACACCAGAAATGACCATGGCAATTAAAGGATCAACAGAAACTTAACTGCTAAATGAATGCATCAAAAACCAAATATGAACCACTCATTTACACATTAACACTGAACTAATGTTTCCCTTTGACGCTAAATGTTTCTTAGCACTGTTGTTCCCACTGAGGATCAACACTCAGTAGTAGTAACTGCAGCAGTCAACTGATTGCAGTTCATCATTTCATTACAGTTCAAACAGTTATCAAAACCATCCATAAAAAGCTGTTGCTCCCAGCACATGACCTCACACGAGCAGATCTGACACTTGTGTCCAGTGCAAAATGGCACCAGAGCGAAGATAATGAATGACTGATGAAAGAGAGCGTAACAAGCCGAGCAGACCTATAGGTTTTTCGACTTTTTAGATTCGATGGAGACGCCAGAGCGGCTCTGCTTCCGCTGGATGTGGACAAAAGAAATTGTTTGCTTGCACATAAGCTATTCATTTTATTGGTTGAATGTATAGGAGAGTGTGGTTCTGTTGCAGGCAGTTTGTTTTGGAGTCTTTCTGCTGTAAATGATCAAAAACCACTCGATAAACTTTGCTCTCAAAATAAAAAGTGGTCCCATTGTTTTGAATTGAATTCAATTATTCTAGGAGCTAAAAATAAACATGATCACAAATGCAGAGTACTTAGACACCATTACAGCAGCCCACTTATAGTTCTTTAGCCAAATGGTGTTTGTGGTCATTTTATGCAGATTGTTTTTGGCGTAACGACATATGAGATGTCATGGCCTTAACACATAAGCAACTCACGCAAAAATGTGAAGTGTCAGAGCAATTGAAAAATCACTTGAAAGTATGCAAATGTAAATGAAATATACTCCTTTGTAATCACTTGTGTAATCTGCACTTATATAAAAGTACCTCCATTATCTGTAAATCACCGGGTCGCAGATCTCAGTCTAGATCAAGACGATTACAGCAACACTAAGTATCCAAACTCCTCTCATCAAGATGCTGTACATTCACTGTGACTGGGAAAATATTCTACAGTCTTTCTTTTACATCTACTCTCCTACATCGAGTCGTCCATCCAGGGGCAGCATGCTGAGCAAAGCACCCCAGACGTCCCTCTCCCCAGCAACACTTTCCATCTCCTCCTGGGGGACCCCATGGCGAGATATGTAATCCCTCCAGTGTGTTCTGGGTCTACCCCGGGGCCTGCTACCAGTGGGACGTGGTTGGAACACCTCTAACGGGATCCTGATCAGATGCCTGAACCACCTCAACTGACCCCTTTCAATGCAAAGGAGCAGCGGCTCTACTCCGAGCTCCCTCCGGATGTCTGAGCTCCTTACCCTATCTCTAAGGGCCGTTTCATAGTCGACGCACACAACGCAAGAAAGCGACGCAAGCAACGGGAGCAACGCACTTCCTTTCATAGTCAACACACTGAATGCAAGCGATGCGGGTGACACTAGAAATGCAATACATTGCTCGCGCAATAGGGGGTAGCAGAGTCACTGGTACGTTCCGGCTAGCTCGTACTGCTGTAGCTAGCTAGTACTGATATATAATTAGAGTGCAGGGCACTAGAACTGTCATATAAATGGGGATGTGAACGTACGAGTTCGCAAAGTTTTTCCTCCTCGCCCGCCATATTTCATACCTGCTTCTTCTGTGAATAACAAAAAGTGGTTAATTTCAAGTACGTCGCTTACATTATCACCCCCGCTGGCAACGCATGGTATTACACACTTCGCTGCGTTGCGTATAAAAAAAAATGGACAACACATTTTGAGACGCAAGCACGCATCATGGCGGCCAATGCATCTCGATGCATCCCTATGCGTTCGCGTGTGCGTGCCTTTGCGTCAACTATGAAACGGCCCTAAGGCTGAGCCCTGCCACCCCACGGAGGAAACTCATTTGGGCCGCTCGTGTCCACAATCTCATTCTTTTGGTCACTACCGAGCTCATGACCATAGGTGAGGGTTCGGATGGAGATGGACCAGTAAATTGAAAGCTTCGCCTTCTGGCTCTGCTCCCTCTTCACCATGACAGTCTAGCGCTCTATTCCATTCTAGTCCATTCTACCCTCACACGTGAACAAGACCCAGAGATACTTGAACTCCCTCGCTTCGAGTTGGTTTTTGTGTAATTAAGTGATGTCTGCAGTCACGTCTTGCTGCCCCCTGGAGCCATCAACGTATATAAAAAGCCGATATGGTTAAAATGATGGATTGTTCTGATATGGTGAAGTCCAGCCTAAACAAGAAACCCAGGTTAGTTAGCTAATAGAATAATTCAAAAGACAAAAAAGTAACAATGACAATAGATAAACTCCGAACTCCGGGATCCTCATCTGGGATATCGAAATGATTACCATGAAAATAGGAAATGACCCAACTAGTATAAAGTCAAGATCATTCAATGACATAAATGCTAAGCTAAGACAGCTTATTAAGTATTCTGTGAATGCACAGGGTGCCACAGGACGCTGTTTGCATCATGGTATAAATTATGTACATGAAACTGCAGTGTGCAGTAGAAACATGCATATCAATGATTTCTTTCAGAATCCTTCACATTTCTTTTTCTGCAACAAACCAAATAAAAACCGACTCATGCTTTCTGTCAATTTGCCCTCAAAGTAAGATGATCTTCCTAATCTCACTGAGGTTTCTTTATCTCACTTAAACAGTTTATTTAAGGCTGTGGTTGTGAGCAGATGTAACAACTTAACCCCTGCGACCTCAGCTGTCCCGCCTGAGCAAATAAAACGTCAACATCCGGCTCCGCGGCCCCTCCTCTGACAGCTTCACTTCCTCCTTCTCACAGCAGCTCCTCTTCCAGCAGGGCTGTTGAGAGGGGAAGGGATGTGGTGTTTCATCACTCCAACCATGCTGTGGTTGGTGGACGTGCTCGTGTATGTGTGTGACAGAGATATAGACGGATATGTGCATACGTAGATGATGTATATATATATATATATATATATAATGCAATTTGCAGACATTGTGTATTCTGTTGGAACAACCAGCTGTGTCAATGCAGAGCCTGGTTTTCAATGAAACACCAACTCTCTGCTCATATGAATTAATGTAATCATTAAAACAAAGACACTAAACACTCCAAATCTGATAGCTTTTTTTCAACTGCCTTCACCGCTGAGCAGACACAGAAAAGAGTGCCACTTACAAAAACCCAAACTTAATCAAGTGACAGCGACGCCTACAGGTGATCTCTTGGACGTGTAGACAGCAAAAAGTGCAGGACAGAAATCTTGCCGATCACCAGCATGAACCAACAACCAAGCCACTATCTCTTCAGATGTGACCACAACCAAGATAACAACTGTTGTGGATTAATCCAGTTTACAGTAAGCGTGTGTGTCATGTTCACAAGCACCCTCGGGACACAAACAGTATCAGGCACAAGAACAACAAATCCTATTCATTCAGACAAACACAACGCAGCAAAGCTCAGACCAAATGTTAGCAATAATCTGCAAATTGGTTAATTGAAACTGCATGAAGAAAAGAGGAAACTGGATATTGGAGTTTTTTGTTTTTTCCAAACGAGAATTGAAATCAGAAATTTTGGCCACGTGAAGCGATTTCACACCAGAGGAACCGAGCCGTGGTCAGCTGAAGGCTGTTTTAGATTTAAGAACTGAAACATGTCAGCTTTCACAAGTGTCCCTTCAGGACTTTTCCCAGACCCGCGCTCTCTGTCCAAATCTGTGATGAAAGACTCAAAATCACTGCACGGGAGCCGCAGTTAATATTACATTCACCCTTTTCAGTTGACAGCGTGCTGACCTTCTCTGAGAGCTCCAAAGCTGCTGGAGCTTCCAGTGTTACGTAAGGATTAGGGTGAGATTGGGCCTAATATACTGTAGTGCTCTGACCACTGACTGGGTGCAGTTTTTCAATTATTTTAGCAAAATCCCATGAGTGTACTTTGTAAATGTCAAAGTACCCTCACACAGCAGCACACACACCTGCAGTCCAAGTCATTAAACTGTTTCAGGGTGTGTTTCTGCACACTGTGACTGAAGCAACAGGTGATCACATAACATACAGTGATGCAGCACTACATCCACCAACATTTGAATGAAATCAGGTCAATAAATGTCACAGCCGGGACATTTTTAACCAACAGCGTGCATGTTTGTGTTCATGTGTGTGCACAGGGGTGGATGGAGATGGATGTGCATGGAGGAGAGAATGGAAAACAGTGTAAATGGGTGAATGTTTGCACAGAAATATATATATATATTTTTTTTTTTTTCTTGGAAATCACATCTGCATGCAACTTGAAACAGTTCAAAACCACGATGTGTGTGTGCACCATGACCCCAGCTGGTCAATATAATCAGGTGAACAACATGCAAACAACTAAAATCTGGTATACTGTCACAAAGCAGTGGCATGTTTTCACTTTATTGCTGCTTTAAGAAAATATTCATTGTTTTAGTGCTTGATTTTATTTAAATTCAGCCTTCAAATGTGGGGAAACTGTTATTCAATTAAAAATAAAGACCAGGGATATATTTAAGTGGATTGTTCTGTGTAAATTACTAATATATAAATGACAAAAAGTGCAAGTACTCACACAAAAGCGTGGTAGACAAAAGCCCATTCCCTCGGTCTCTCCAACACGTTGTAGAGGTAATTCTGGAGCCGCCGGTACCGCGCGTTCCTGCGGCCGCTCTGCGCGCTGTAGGTCAGCGGCTTCCCCAGCAGGCTGAGCCGGGCACCCTGCTTCCTCTCCGACCCCACCGCACCTGCCGTGGCGGGAGACAGGAGACCGTCCCCGACCCGCACCGCGTTATTCATCGTCCTCCGCCCAGACTCCACATCTTTCAGCGCGTAGTCCTGCACCCGGCGTCCTGTCGAGGTCTTGAGCCAGAGCCCGGTGCCGCTGCTCTCGTCGCCGGTGTAACTTCGCGGCATGGCATCACCAGCGCAGTGCGCTGGGAGACCGGCAGACATTCACATGTAGCCAAGTGCTCCTGCGCTGGGTGTTTCACTACTTTGACTTTCACTGTTACACTCAGTAAAACAAAGCAGAGGGTGAATTGTTAAATGACTAATCTGCTCTCATGTTGTCATCCTGTGGCCGCGTGTGAGCACATTCACAGTCCGGTTTGGACACTTTGGCCATCTGCGCAAAGCTGGAGAAGAGTGGGGTTATGAAGGAGTGGATCCATCGAGACATTTGGCGGGGGGAGGGCTCTCCCACCCTCCCACACTCTCTTTCTTCCCCAACTCACTCTCACTCGCCGTCTTGCTTCCTTCTGTCAAAGTGTGTGGAGCCTGCCGGTGCTGCCCCGAACCAGAGGTCTCTTTTACGCACCAAACAGAGACAGGCGCAGCACGCCCAGCACCACCAGAACCACTGGGTTAGCAGGTGATCTGGACAGCGAGAGCTGCGGATGTATCTGGGGTTTTCAATTTGAATTATACGTGTTAATTAAAGAAACGTCAAAAGACAAGGAGCGCCGATGACGCATGTTTTACGCAAGCGTGGAAATTGCCCGGGAATCGCCCAAAACAACCCGCGTGATCATTTTAATTCGTTTATCATAAAATATCAAGTCCACTTCATCTGCAATTCAAACAATGCTGCTTTGAAACACTTCTACACAGAAATAAAGTCATTTCTTTTGCATGGAGGGAGCTGACATGAAGCTACTGGTATAATTAAAGATATTATGAGACGGTTTTTACGCGGTAAAACTGCATCACATAATTGGCTTCAGACTGAACAGCACCTCGAGATTAGTTCATATTGAGAGAACCAAACTTTACAATGAATCTGTTGCGGCTTCAGCAGCAAAAGAGACGGTGAGGGTTGGTTTGGTGCCAAAGAGCCGGAACCGTGTACGCTTTCTGATTAGACTGTGAGCATCTGCGTCACTGTCCACTGATGACCGACCATGTGACCCGAGAAGAGCAATGACAACCTTTTCTTTACTTTTGTTTCTTGTCTGTGTCTTTCCAACCTGTTACTATTAAATAACAAAAACATTCTGCTGTCCAAGTTACATACAAACGCACCCGTATCCATTCACGCACTGGGGTTTTGGCACAATTTAAATTTAAAAGTGTGGTGGAAGGTTATGCCTTGAGACAAATCCACTGCCATTTTCTATGTCAATGCTCAACTTTTTACACATAAGTTATTTCGGATTTGAACTTTATCCAGCCAAAGCTCTTGATGACGCCAGCAATATGACGCCATCACGTGCTGTTCCCCCTATTTTTAAATGTGAGCACGTAATGTTTCTTTAACATTTTTTCCAACCAAGACGTGTGATGAATATTTCCTGTTGCGATCAAAGCCTGACCTCTAGTGGTCAAACTTTGGTATTACAGGAGCAGCCCACATGAGAAGACAAAGCCAAAATCAAGATAATAAATAGGAAATAACATCAGTAAGATATCAATAACATAGACAGACAGCTCAGATAACGTCAGGATATGCTCTCTGATAGAGGCATGTTTTTAGGAGAGACTTATACAGACAGCCTTATATCCTCAGGCAGGCTGTTCCAGAGCCTCAGGGCCCTGGTGGCTACAGCCCTGTCCTCTCTGGCCTTCACTCTGGACTCTGTGTTAAGCAGAAGACCTCTGCCCGAGGATCTCAAACTATGCAGAGGTTCATAAAGGACTAACAGGTCTGAAATCAATATGGGTCGGAATGGATGTTGTTTCATAATCATCCTGTATTCCCTCAAAAAGACCTCATCCATATTGTATCAGGTCCATATTATTATACAACTTTATAGGACTTGTCTAAAGTTTTCAGACAACATCCATTTCCATCCATATTGATTGTTTCTTTCCTATATAACTAGAGCTTCAGCTTTATACTGAGGATAACAAGAAGTTTTATCAAAAAATGAAGACGCCCTTTTGTCATGTACCAGTTTCTGACTTTTTAGTTACCTATTGTTGCATTAGTAGTACAAATAATAACAGCCTAAAATAGTTCATAGCAGAGGCCCGTTTGATATTAACAAGTAAATGGTCGCTTTCTGAAGCTGATATTCTTGTCACCTTCAAAACCGTACTCCAGGGTACTGATCGAGACTGGTGGGAGATTGCCCAATCAAAAGTAAACACCTGGAGTGAACTTGAAACTGTTTTTTTATCAGCTTTTCTCTCAGAAGATTATGAAGATGAGCTAGCTGAACAAGTATGAATCAGAAGACAAGAAGAAAATGAAACCATCAGAGATTTTGCTTTCTCCTACAGAGCTCTCTGTAAAAGATGGAAACCCTCTGTCACAGACGCTGGCATTGTTAAATTGATCCTGAAAAACATCAAACCTCTTCTTGCTAGCCAGCCACTGCAGTAGTAGTAGACTGCAGATTGGATGCTGGATTATTATTCACCATAAAACTCCAGTTAAAAGCCTAGTCCTATCCCAGCTGACACTGGGTGAGAGGTGGGGTACAGCTTGGACAGGTCACCAGACTATCACAGGGCTGACACATAGAGACAGACAACCATTCACACTAACATTCACATCTACGGACAACTTAGAGTCACCAGTTAACCTGCATGTCTTTGGACTGTGGGAGGAAGCTGGAGTACCTGGAGGAAACCCACGCTGACACAGGGAGAACATGCAAACTCCACACAGAAGGGCTCCCCCACCCTGGGTTCGAACCATTGCTGTGAGGCATCATGCTACCACTGCTCCACCGTGCCGCCATAACCTACCATTTTATTTGAAGCCTAATTTTCATGCAAGTAATATTCATACTGGTTCAAATAAACAATTTGATCATATTTTCTCATCTTTGCAGAGCAACAGTTTGGTGTTAACGGGATTAAAGGCCTGTCCCAAATATAGACCTGTTGAGTTCAGTGAGGTAAGCAAATAATAGCCTGGGCTATTATTTGCTTACCTCATCTTGTTTTTTTACATGGATTAGTGTATTGTGCTCTCACTGCCACTGGATGGCACAAAAAAGTGTCCACGAACGAGGACAAAAGGTCTGAGTTAAGCAGAATGAAGTTTAAGGTCAAGTAAACCCAAAATGTGATGTCCTAACTTGTCATGGTTCCTTGTAAAACCACAAAGCCTTTTGAAGAACTATTTCTTCTAAGTAGAAAAGTAGCTCATCTGGTGGACCCTGAACTAAACACTGTGTGTATATATTATATGCACATTTTCCCATGTAATAATTAACCACATTTTTCACCCTGCTGTCTGTTTGTTGTGGGCTAATTATGGGCTGTTTTGGGTTCATTATCTGTTTTGTTTATCTCACTCCCAGCCTCAATCCTTCCAGGATCAATTAAAGTAATCCTCAGAGTTTTAATTGGCAGAACTTCAGCACACTGAACAGATTGAAATTCAACCACAGAGCCGACAGAACACTTTGTAATTACACTAATTGGGGAGTAAAGAGGAAGACAGTGAGGAGGGAGGGTGGGTGTGGGAGAGAGGGATTTTCAGAGAGAGGAGGAGAGAGCATTGGTTGGGATTAGGCCTGGGCTGCAGGTTAGACGGGATTACGGCGCGCAGCGCGGCGCACTTCACTCCGCTGTGCGTTCTGCTATGGATTTCTCCGCACGGCATTTGTGAACCACATTTAAGACCTGTCACTAACATCCCTCGATCCTGGTGATAGACCAGATATCTATGGAAACATGGCCGACGTCCCTCAGCTCGTCAAAATTGGGATTTCACTGAAGATGCTTCCCAACAACACCGCGGTGCACTTCAAGTCCGACGGCGCCAGGTTCGGACAGACCCGGACCATCAAGCTGCTGACCGGGTCTAAGTACAAAATCGAGGTGGTCGTTAAACCAGGAGCGGTCGAGGCCACGTAGGTAGCCCTTCTATTTAGGCCTGTTTGTTTGTTTGTTTAAGGCGTGGATTGTGCTTTGGTAATATTGATCCTGGAAAACAAATACAGCGACCTGACTGTTATATTCGTACAATTTCCGACTGAAAAATACCACAAAGATAATTTAATTCTCTGATGAGCGCTACAAACACGTTTACAGTCACTAGGGCGGTTATTTATATAAACATATATTTCACATATGGGAGGAAAGGGACACACACTGAGCCTCCCAAATAATGGAGACTGTGTTTTCTGAATGAAGCAGCGCTCATAACCATTCACGGTCCCTCTGATTTCCCCTAGAGAATTACGATGACGTTATCATATGGGATATTTTTGATTGGTTAATGCCAATGTTTGCTTCGTCTGCACAAGTTATTTTTGTAAAACACGTTTCCCTCACAGAGTGAAATACACTGGGATTTTGACTGCTTCACTGGACTGTAGGGCTTCCCAGTATTTGGCTTTTAATGACAAATAGAGTGTAGGCCTATAAATATAAAGCGTCGGCTAATTAAAGATCCAAGGAAGAGGCTCACTCCTCGCATGCAATGATAGTGACCTTAACAAAAGGCAAGTGCAGATTTTAATGCCGCATTCAGGGACAGTAGGATTATAAAGATGATACCGCACAGGAAGTGGAAGAAAAGTGAAGCTTTTCGTCATTTCCAAGCTGCAACCAAAACACAAAATCACTTTAAAATGTTTCTTATACGCCTTGGTATATAAGTATCGCACTAAAATATACATCTGATTTAAAAAAAATCCTGCATTTTAGCACTCAACAAGTCCCCTTTTCCAAGTGAAGTCCTCCAAAGTACGATTTTACGAGGTGCAAGTGAATGCAACATAAACCCCAATTGGCTGCACATCAAATCCAGCACAGATTAGGACTCCAGGGTTTGGGGTTTTGTGTTAGTGCCCTCCTGTGATTTGCCTGCAGTAAATGATTATGTAATGACTGTTGTTGTTCGTCCATGTCCAAATAAGGATTAGTGTTGAACATGTAAATATCAAGAGAGGGAAACGCCTCAGCAGCACTCTGGTGTAAAAATAGGTCACACAGGCGATGATGCATTGGAGATGTTACACTCAATTTGGGGCATGCTCATGAGACACAGCTGTGGACTGATTCCACTACTTGTCAACAAGAAATCCTGTCTGCAAATAAATACAAATACATTCAAATTAATATTTAAAAAATGGATCGGAGGGATTGAAGCTCACAGTGGCAGTTTATCTATTTTAGCACTTTATTAGAGATACAACTTTTGAATTTATAATCTTTGACTTTGTGCTTTAAAATGGCATGTGTGATCTGAAATATATCCAGTCAATCAAATATTCTTGGATACTTCTCGTCTATGTGTTACTTTATGATGAGTCTGTCCCAGTCTGGCGTGAGAAAGGTAGGCTATTGTCTTAAGGATATGTACATTACTTATGTTTTTCGATCAGCTGAGAGCTAAATTTTATATACCAAGGACACATTATTTTAGATATTTGCAGGTTCAAGATTGGGCTCGTAAACATACAGGTTCATTTCCATCAATCCCTGAACAGCAGCCTCTAGATATTCGATTTCCAACAGCTCCATCTCTCAAAGGCACAATATCTGTTATGTTTTTGAAACTTTCATCTTTACAGACAAAATCTCTTGATGCACTGAGAGAGGCGTGGCAGGTGGATCTGAATTTACCATTTACAGATGCTGAGTGGTTAGATATACTCGAGAATACACACCTCATCAGTATCCTCCTGAGACCCTGTGTCCTCATGTGAGCACGTCACATTTTGGGTTTACTTGACCTTATACTTCATTCTACCTAACTCAGACCTGTTGTCCTCGTGCGTGGACACATTTTTGAGCACAATGCACTAATCCATGTAAAAACAAGATGGCAGCCATCTCTGCCAAGTCAGTCTGCAGCCAATCCTGACACAAAAGTGGACAAAAGCTGATCACGTGTTATGGTTGACACTTTTTTATTTATGATTAATAATGTTTGTAGATTGATAGCAACAATAACAAGCTAAGACGCTGTTAATTAAGATGTACTCTTTTGAAGACATCAGGACTTTATTATCATTGACAGTGTTTGGTTTTTAATACTTATTGGGTTCTACTGATCTCAAATATCTGGGAGAAATTAAAAATGTGAACCAAACATAAGTTCGGGGTCTCAGGAGGTTATGTGCCAGGCATGGCCTGATTCAATTTGAGGTGGTACACAGACTTCATCTATCTAAAATCAAAATCTCAAAGATGATGATTCTTGTAATAGATGTAAAAGCTCCCCCGCAACACTAGCTCATACATTCTGGTCTTGCCCGGGTCTCTCAGTTTGCTTGTGTTTTTTTGAAGCTCTTTCTAAAACGCTTAGAAGAATCCAAAACCTCTTACAGCAATTTTTGATTTGATTGATTTTCATTTGGGTCATGCACACTTACATGTGCCCGACCCTCATGGGTTTACAAGACACCATTACAATGACGTTACAGTAACAATCAAAAGTACATGTTAAACTCAAATTTTTCATCATCATCCAGCCAAAAGAAATCATCGCAGATAGAGGTCATCTTACTGAAAAGTACATTCCTTATGTCTTCATATACGGGACAGTAAACCAGGAAGTGAACCTCATTCTCTGCGTCACCTAAATCACACAACAAACAAATTCTATCCTCCTCTGGGGTGGCATTAAACCATCCAGTCTCTAAGGCTGATGGTAACGTTCCTGAGCACAACTGTGCACACAGTCCTTTATCATTTGTTTAGATTATACTTCACATGAGGTTCCACACTGTAACTTTCCTTTATAAGACAGTAAGTTCGTAGTTTTTGTTTATACCATATGTCAACAGACCATTTTTCTCTAAACATACGAAACATTTCATTCCTGATCTCCTGACTGTCACAAAGTAGCCTGTTCTGGAAAATAAATGACAAGTTGTTCAAATAAAATAAAGAAATGCGTACTGATCGATGTCTTGTGTTGCGTACCTGTCTGCAGGTCGATGAGTGTGGGCGGGGTGACCTTCCCCCTGGAGCAGCAGTCCAAAGACCCGCAGTCAGTGGTCTACAGTGGGCAGTACGACACAGAAGGGGTGGCACACACCAAGAGTGGAGAGAGGCAGCCAGTTCAAATCAGCATACAGGTATGGACAGGAGAGTAACTTTAATCTGGAGGCAGAGGCAAGAAGTTAGGCAGTTATGTTATTTTATGCGTGGCACTTGTGTCAGGTGGAACAAGGAATGTTGAGGCACTTATTCTCGAATCCGTCGTTCATACTTAATGTCACCTTGGACAAAAGGAATAAGTATAAAGACCCAAAGTATTATCTGTGAAGCCAATTCCAAACATAGCTTATTCCTCTGTGCTGTGAGGGTAAGTTTAGAGAAATGAGCGAACCATAGAGTGTATAAATATAATGGACGCAGCCATTATGACATCACCCATTGGTTTGTGGATTGTGGACTACTGTTTTGAAGCCTCAAGTTTGACATGTTGGCCGTCGCCATCTTGGATTTTTTTGAAGCCACATATGACCATATGTGGACAAGAGAGTAGAGCAATTGAGGAGCAAGAGGTGGATGACTCATGGACTGTAGCAACGTCTCGACAGACAGCCTGTCACTCAAAGTGGTCACGCCCTTAACTGCGCATAACTTCAAGCCTCAACAAAATTTAAGCCATACAGTTGTCATGAATAAGGAAATTAATTTTACAGACCAAAACCATTTGTGTACCAGGAAGTAAACATGTTTATTTCTGCTGTAAAGTTGAGCATTTTAACATGGGAGTCTTTGGGGATTGACTCGCTTCTGGAGCCATCCCCAAGTGGCCATTAGAGGAACTGCAGTTTTTGACACTAATGCATCAGTGAGCACGGTTACATGCGCACACAATAATCAGATAACTGGGAATAATCAGGTAATGGTAATAATCCGATTTGACGCATTTACGTGCACTTCAATAATCTGATAATCAGAAAAACCTGGTTTACATGATTCAGTCCTTCAGTTGGATTTCTCCTCAAGTACATGACATAAAACTCAAACTTCCTGTTACAGTAGGTACTCATATCCTTGAAAAACCTCGAAAAGTACGCAAGTCATATATTTGCAAAATAAAGCACTCATCATGCTGACAGCTTATATTCTTACAGTACTGTTTGTTTTTATCATTAACAAATACATGTGAGAGCATTTGAATGTGTAGTTTATCAGTGTGGAGCCAATTTTACATACTTTGGGTAGATTCGGAGTAAAAGTACTGCAAAGTGCAATATACAAGTGTATTGTATATAAACTTGTCACACAAAGTGCATAACATAAGTAAGATAAAATAAAAGTGACAATTTAAACACTGAGAATATAAAAATATATTATTTTATGTAAAATCTTTATCTGAAAGGAAACAAAAGCTGTCAGATTAACATAGTGGAGTAGAAAGTACAATATTTCCCTCTAAAATGTAGTAGAGTGGGAGTATAAAATAGCAAAACCCAAAAGAAACCAGATTAAAGGGTATACATGCACCGAATAATCTGACTATTGGGGAAAAAGCTAGGTGTGTTTATCTGATTTCTCATAATCAGATAATGGCTTTTATCTGATAAAGCCTATAGGATTATGCTGTTTACAAGACCACTTGAATAATCAGGTAACTCCAGAAATCAGATAATGATCGGTTTATTAGTGTGCAAGTAAACTCGCTCAGTGTTGCAGTGATAGTTGATGAGGTGGGTGTACGACTAGGTAGATGGGTAGGTTACAGAGGAGGAAGTGGGTATACTCTCCTTTATATTCCAATGGCTTTTTGGCTGATAAGCGTATACTTGCGTATACCCTCCACTACACCCCTGAAGGTTGCCGCTTGGAGCTAATACATTGTTGGTTTTGGTCTTCTCATGGGATTTGTTGACAAAACCAAAAATAAAGATCATCTGCAGCTTCATCCTTTAATCACAGAGTGATCACTTTAGTTTACAACAGCTTCATGTCTTCCACGACTGTCTCAACGTGTTCCTGTTACCCTAAAGGTGCTAAATGCCTTACTAGATGTCTTTATGTTGCTCAGCTTACGGTTTAGCTGAAATCAATGCCAGCTACCAACACCTTCAATCATAATTACAGTTTTTCTTCAGTGATAGCCACAGGTGTTTCCATGGTTACAGTTTAGGTAGAGTAATCATGGATGTATTCATGAATGGATCTCGCAGGTGTTGAAGCTGACATAATTAAGGCTGCAGCTAAGGATTATTTCCTTTATCAATGCATCTGCTGCTTGTTTTCTCAGTTAACTGTTTGGTGTATAAAATGTCAGCATATTTAAAAGTCACATTTTGCTAGAGCACATGGTGATGTCATCAAGCGTCTTGTTTTGTGGGACCAATGCTTCAAAACCCAAAGGATTTTATTTACTACCATAGAGCAGAATTTTGCCTCCTTTTTGGCTCAAAAATCGAGTTAAAGGATTAATCACTTACCAAAATTCTCAACTCTAATCTTCATGTATATGAATTTATTTTAATAGATTTTGTCATTAACCTTGTAACAAGACAGATATTTGACAGCAGAACTACAGGTTCAAACATTCTTACAAATAACATTATATTTGGTTTGACATGTTTGTGTGTGTCTTGCCCATATGTCCAGTTCACACCCTGGGGCCTCTGGGATGATATGGTGTGTGTGTGTGTGTGTGTGTGTGTGTGTATCCATCTGTCAGATGAGTACGCCTCCTCTTCATTTCACCTTCACATGATTTTACACATAGTGTGAGTGTCTATGTGGGCTTCTTGTGAGTGTGTGTGTGTTCCCATCTGTCCACTCACACACTCATCTGTTCATGTTTTCTTCCTTCAGTTCACAGAGGCAGGAATGTTTGAAACGGTGTGGCAGGTGAAGTACTACAACTACAACAAGAGGGACCACTGCCAGTGGGGAAACAGCTTCAACAGCATCGAGTACGAGTGCAAACCCAACGACACGCGCACGCTCATGTGGGTCAACAAGGAGATGTTTGTGTGATGGAGATATTCAGTGTTTACTCTGCAAAAACACGAGGTGTGGCGTTTCTGAGCATCAGCATGTCATGATAAATTAATTTTCTTTAATCCACAGCAGATACACACTCAATATTTGACTTTATTTTAATTTAAATTGATTTTTTTTTTGTGTGTGTGTGTGTGTGTGTTTGAAAAGAAAATGCAACCTTTCCCTCTTTTGTACTGTAAAAAAGCACATCAGATTAACAGCCAAATCAGATCCTACAGCAGAACATATAATATAAAATGCATGTTGTCAGTCTTCTCGCAAGGTGCATTTTATCAAGGTTAAAATGAAACATGTTGCACTTCTCAACAACCTGCAGTTTGAATTATGCATTGAACAATTAAATGGAATTTTGAGATAAATATTTTAATGTACCGTTCGGTTGTGGCGTGTGGTAATGTGTATGTGCAGTAGGCTACTGTGTGCGTGAGTGTGTCTGTGTTTAATTACAGTATGTGTGTGTGTGTTTTACAAACGGTGCTTGTACAGATATGTTTATACATGTGAAGAGTTTCATTCCAAAATGACTTAACAGAATGTCCAGAAATTCATGTTAACATTTACCAAAATGTTAAAGAGAACATTTTCCCTCTTGACCACGTCCTGTGTCCTTGCATTAGTGAGATTTTGATGTCATTGGCCCTCAAGCTGATTTTTTCCCATCTGTCCTCATATGGGAGCTTGCCATGACATCTGCAGCCTCTAATTTTAAAAATGTGGGGTGTGTTTTCAAAGTATGCAACAGAGGAAGGTGACATGGCAGACGACTCCATATCTTAATACAGGTTTGAGAGGATTTTTTCTAGCTTTAAGAAATACATGACATCTCTGACCCAATGAGAAAAGCATAGGGGAGCACTTTTCAGTTTAGAGGGATCAAACAGTGAAAGCTGTGACCGCGTGGGCTGTATTTAGTGCGATAGTGCAGGATTCCTTCAAACTTAAACCAGAAATTGCACAGACTTGTTTGGGGTTCAATTGGATTTCAAATATCTCACTAAAAGCTCTAAAAATACTTCTGCAGAAGGTGGAGAGGTTTGGACATAACCACAACATATGCATTAAGCCTGCAAGCTGGCCTCTACATCGAGGGCATAATGGCGCAACATTCAAATACATCTTTTCCGGTCTAGCATTAATAAGATGAGAAAATTATCAGCTACTTTAATAAGCAGTAACCTGGAGAACAGGCATGCCCAAAGTGTGGCCCGGTCGCCAACTGGGGCCTGCAGACAGATTTTAAACAGCCTGTGATGTGTCTTTCAAAACATACCATATATGGCCTGCTACATAATATAGTTCACTCTGCATTTTTTGCGTTTACCTCACCATGGCAGGACTATCATACACAGTCGGAACAGCAGCTGATCTGCTAGGTAACATCAATGGCCACAGCAAAAAAGTGTGAAGTCGACAGCAAGGGCCGCTACTTTCGGGAGCGGTGGGAAGTTGAAGATTTTGTCACTGAAAGATGAAACGGTTACATTTGTCTTGTGACATTTTTGGTGCGGCTTCTGCAGTGATGCAGGCGCTGCGCCAGCCCATCGTGGTGAGGAGAGAGCTGAGCCAGAAGATTTACTGGTCTATCTACGTCCCAACCCTCACCTATGGTCAGAGCTGTGGGTAGTGACCAAAAGAATGAGATTGTGAACACAAACCAAATCCTCAAATCCAAAATGAGTTTCCTCCATGGGGTGGCTGGGCTCAGCCTTAGAGATAAGGTAAGGAGCTCGGACATCCGGAGGGAGCTCGGAGTAGAGCCGCTGCTCCTTCACATCTAAAGGGGTCAGTTGAGGTGGTTCAGGCACCAAGGATGCCTCCTGGGTTCCTCCTGTTAGAGGTGTTCCAGGCACATCCCACTGGTAGGAGGCCCCGGGGCAGACCCAGAAAACGCTGGAGGAATTACATATCTCACCTGGCCTGGGAACGCCTTGGGATCCCCAAGGAGGAGCTGGAAAGTGTTGCTGGGGAGAATACACATCCTGGCTGCCACAACTAAACTAAATTTCAGCCTGTGTTGCTGATACTTTCAGAGACCTTGAAGTCGGTCTGTCTGAATCACTGGAGAGATACTACTTTCTCTGAAAGAGTTACAGGATCATGCAGTTGCCCACACAGAACCGACCCTGGTCTCTTGATGCAATCGTTCACAGGCTCTTGAAAGCACACAGGTCAGCCCCCCTGCAAGTCTCCAGAGTTACTGTTAACCAAAAAAAGAATATCTTCTCAAAAGCATGCTTCAGCCCGTATCCTTTTACGATGACACCGCAGCGTGCCTCCTCTGCATCAGCACCTCTGAACCACAAAATCATTGGTGTTTTGGAATGAAATTCTCCGTCTAGCTGTGTGTGTGTTGTGGTGCCAGTGTGTGTTCAGTGTAATGCAGTACTGGATGTAGGAGTTTTGTATTTGGGTGAAGTCGTACCCCTATTTACAGCGTGTTTGTCTTCTCTACCTCTTCCGAATGACTTAGCCATGAATATGAATTGTGTTTATTAAAGAGAAACAATGTATTTGGGATATTCAGAACACAAATTATCAATGAAATCTTTTTTCTATTTCTGGTGGTAAGTTATATTTTGAAAAAATAGTATTTTTGTACAGTGAACCATTTGAAATGTTTTCATATTATTGTGTGTATATTGGTAGAAATGTTTCCTTTGAAATATTGAATTGACCTATGCAACAAAAATCAGAGCAACAGAATAACGATGAAATTGTGCAATGCAGTTGTGAGATTTACATATCATTCTGACCTTTTTGTGAAAATGTTGTTTGATTATAACTATTAATAGTAAACTTTGAAACCTTCTTTGTGACAAATGTTTTCATTTTATGCACCTAATCAGAACCCTACTGTGACATATTAACTACATGAGGCTCATTTATAAACACAAGTGTTGACAACTCGTTCAATTAGTGCTGTAAATATTTATGGTAAATACATGAGTGAATCATATAAAGGAAGCTTTCAGAGCTCCGACAATCACAACAGAGGGCAAACAATAGTTCTTACTGATGGTACAAACTATAAACTAAAGCACAAATGACAATAACTATCATAAACTATCATGTTCTGAATAGACACACCCTAGACCTCAACAGTAAACTACAAACAAATCAGTCCAGCGTAATGGGAAACGAGGGTGTCACTCCAATATTAAATGTAAAATAATAATCATAATAACTTTATTTGTATAGCACTTTTCAATATAAATAACAAAGTGCTTTACAGCATAAAATATCAGCACACAGAGTCTAGGGGTCCTGATTGCAAAAGCCCTGTCGCCTTTTGTTTTCAGCCTAGACCTTGGAACAGCTAGCAGGGCCTTACCAGCGGATCTCAGACTGCGAGCTGGTTTGTGTGAGGATAAAAGGTCTGAAATATAGGCAGGAGCTAGCCCAAGTCTGGCCTTAAAAACAAATGAAAGAATTTTAAAATCAATCCTAAAATGAACAGGCAGCCAGTGCAGGGATGCTAAAACAGGGGTGATGTGGTCACATTTTTTAGACCTAGTTAAAAGCCGAGCTGCAGCATTTTGTACTAACTGTAGATGGTGAAGTGATTTCTGAGACACGTATATAAGCTATTACAATAGTCGAGGCATGAAGAAATAAAAGTATGGATGACTTTCTCCAAATCTGTGGCTGAGATAAAAGACCTGACTCTGGCTATGTTTCTCAAATGATAAAAATATGTCTGGACCACTTTTTTTTTTTACATGAAGTTCAAAGTTCAAGTCCTGGTCAAAAATGACGCCGAGGTTTCTGGCTGAGGGTTTTACAAGAAGTGTTGAATCGCTAAGGCTTTCCAAAATTAGTTTTCTTGTTGTGGATGGACCTTGACTGATTGAGTTGGAGAAAACTGTCTGACATCCAGTATTTTATTTCTGTGATACAGTTGTGGAGGGCTGCTGTATTAGACTGATGACCGGGCTTGATTGGGATGTACAACTGTGTGTCATCTGCATAACAATGAAAATGGACGTTGTATTTACGGATGATGTCACCTAGAGGGAGCATGTAAATGGAAAAGATAATAGGGCCCAGGATCAACCCCTGGGGGACACCGTAGGAGACATTAGTGGGGGAAGAAACAGAGCCAGCTATAGATAAAGTTGTAAAAGGTAAAAGTGTCATTTAGAGGCATATTGACTCATCCATGGTATTATCGCTCACCATTAAGCCAGACTTAAAACTTTAAAAACAATATAGTGCTATATGGCACCTCTAATGGCTCTATACAAGCACTATTTGATAAAGGCATTGTACAGCATCTTTGGAAAATGGGTGCCACATAGCACCAAAAAAGGTTCACCTATGATTACGAGACAAAAAAAAAAGCATTTGGGTACTGTTTATGAAACCCAGTTGTAAGGGGAACTACACCCATTTCCATTATTCATACTTTTTATTCCTGTGGTCTAAGACAGTCCAATAATTTTAAAATAGATGAACAACTCTGTTCCAAATCCCAAAGGTAGCGTGCCCAAACTCAAACTTGTGATGTCATAGGGTATTAAGTGCAGAACTTCTCCACGGACAATGGATTTTCTGTTATAAATGACACTGAGAGCAGCCAGGGGAATGTTATTGGTACAGTAGTACATGGGTACATTTGCTGTGTCATAATTAAGAACACTACAATAGAATAACGCTAATTTTGGAATATAAAAGAAAACAAACATTCTGTGGGCCCATAAAATGAGGCTCCTATTCGTTGTCTATGAAGCAGCTCCAGACTTTATACCTGATGGCATCACAAGTTTGAGACTTCTGGGCACCCCAACTGACTTCTCTGGTTTGTGGCTTTGAGAGAGCATAGCTCATGTTCACAAATATTAATTGAACTTTCCTCAGCCATGGAAATAACATAATGGAGTTTTTAACTTGGGTGCAACTCCCTTTTAACCTGATCCTTTCAATGCTTTAAACATGCAGCATTTGTAGAGGCAAAAATCGGCGCCTGGAAGTGGGCCTGTAGGCACCCGACCTTGTCCTCCACTTGACTTCTCAATTGCGCTTTGATGTAGATCTGATACCTTGGAGTCAGCTAAGTAATACTCAAGGAAACACTGGAAACACACTTAATGTGTTCACAAGCTTTAACACAAACAACTCATCAAGTCACGCTCCGGAGCAGGACTAAAGTTTCACTTTCTGAGGTGCTCCTTTTATGCTGGTGGAGATTCAGGAGAATCTCCACCTTCTTTCTTTAGCCCTTCCTACCTGAGTCCAAATCTATTGGTGGTTGGCCTTTTTGCCTTTGTCCAGACTTGCCCGAACATGCCCAGGCATGTTTTAATGGTGTATCATTTTTCCATTGGCCTGTGAATCCCCAGATTCTCCCACCATTAGGTTAGAGCTCAGGTTTACACTATTTTTAGAAAACATATGGAACTCAGGGACTATTTCTATAAGTCCCTTGTGCCTTTATGCAATATAATCTTTTAATGTGCATCAGGTTAATACAAACACTTGGGTGTATGTGTGATAGGTTATGTGTGTTCTTTTTAGCATGGATACAATGTGAACTTATATCATGAATACTTTGTTATGTATGACAATGTTTTAACACATATAGATGTATTTCACTCAGTGTTATAAGAACTTATGCATAAAACATGGTTATATCATGGTTATATGACTTTTTCTTAATCAATTTATGCAGTATATCACTTTTACTGGATTAGGGATTAATTCTTACACTACACATTACAGCGCATTCCTTACTTCATGACATACTGACTGCTACTGCTGCAGTGATAAAAGATCATCCTTTCTTATACCACATATACTGCATTCACTTAACACTATAATTGCAACTACAAGTGCTTACAACTGGCCTACTCACTACTATGAGTGGTAATACACAGCTTATGACTGTGCTATTAGCAGTGTCTGCACCAGTTGTTCAGCTTTACTGGTCCTCTGAAGCCACTTAAAGTCTCACTGTGGTTATCACAAGGCTTTGTATGGGTTTAGTGGTAGTGCCATAGGGATTACATAAAATGAAATCCATCTGCCACCTGTGTAAAGTAAGGTTGAGGGTACATAAGGCCTGAGTGGCGACTGTCTGCAGTACAGCCATACCACCAACAGGGGGAGCCTGAGCACAAACCTAATCAGGAGGTCAAAATATAAACTAACTAAATAAATAAATAAATAAAGGCTGTAGTTCCCGGATGTACAGTACTGCTGCACCTCCCCCCTTCACCTCCTCTCTCCTCCCCTCTGCCACCGCCTGCTTGTCAAACCGAGCCTCCTCCTCCGCTTACTGTCCCCTCCCAGCGGGTCTCCCTCCCTCCGCCACTGCAGTGAAAGCTTCGGTACGGGAGAGACGGCCAGACGGAGAAGAGGAGCCTGAAGCTGGGTATAAAGCTAGGACGAGACCTCACAGAGAACCACAACTACCATATTGTTTTTCTGTCCCGCTCCTCGCCACAGCTCGGCGGCTCTACCGACTCCCCCCCTCCCCCGGTTGGACCTCTTTTCCGCTCACATCGCCTGGATTTCATCATCCGACCTGCAAGATGGTAAGCGAGCCACGGCTCCTCGTTTCAGCCTGGTAAACACACCAGTTGGCAGATTAGTGTGGCGCTTTGACAGGTTGTTTTTCACAAGTTAGCAGTCGACAGCGCGGAGAGGAGGAGGAAACGCGTTTCTCACCCACTTCTGGCTCCCTGTCGCGCCTCTGTGTGCAACACCCCGGGGCTGACAGCAGCCTAAAGCCTGTGGCCC